TCTCTCTCTCTCTCTCTGTCTAGCTCTCTCGCTCTCTCGCTCTTTCGCTCTCTCGCTCTCGCTGTGTGTGTGTGTGTGTTTGTGTGTGTGTGTGTTGTGCGTACGTCTTTGTATGTACTTGCTGTTTCGTTATAAGTCATTCATCCGTACAAGAAAAAGTATAAATATCTAGGATATCTTATCTTTGGACACAACTGAGAGGGGTGAATCAAAAATTCCTCAGCCCTTTCGAAAACAAAAGAAAAACCATTCCTTTTGGTAGTAATGTAAAATTTGCTCGTTGTTTAGTTTTAGTAAGGTTTTACGGCGCTCGCTACCGCATAAGGTCATATGAGCGCCAGATTTGCACGTACTCCCATGTACATCTCAAAAGGTTTTTTGTAATACTTACATGGTTTTTGTCTTCAGAAAACCTGGAAAGAGATGTCCTCAGACGGGGAATGGAAGAGACCGGCAAGGGCAGGCGGCTGTGGGAACCATCAGACCTTCCTGAAGAATCCACAGGTAATTTGGGTGCTTGAAGGGACGCCTTCCTGGACTCTTGTCAGGACTTATTCTTTGAAAATATATTTTGTAATTTTTTTCCATTCTGTATGGTCCTCCTCATCCCATGTGTGTGCGTGGGGGAAGGGGGGTTTATGTGTTATTGTGTATGTGTATGTGTGTGTTATTGTGTTATGTGAGTGTATGTGTCATTGTGTGCATATGTGTGTGTGTGTGTATGTGTGTGTGTGTGTGTGTGTATGTGTGTGTGTATGTGTGTGTGTCCCTGTCTCTGTCTCTTCTTCTCTGTCTCTCCCTCGATTCAAGTTTATTTATTTTCCAAATTTTCACAGTCTACGACAGAGTAACTGAAAATCCCTCCCTCGTTCTCATCCAAACCATTCTGTTTGATTGTTTCTTTAATTAAAATGTACTCCGCTGCCCTCCTGCCGAATGAAGTAAGTACCTGTCTTATTCCATGTCTCTTTTTGCGGGGAAATTGTTCAGTGAAACGAAAACATAACTTTGGTTTCATTATATCCTAGTCAAATTCTTTTTCCTCCCGTGAGTGGTTGGCGGGTGCTCTGTTGTAGATTGCCCCTTCTTTCATATCTTATCTCTCCTCCTTTAGTTTGCACGTTACACTCTGGTAACACCTTTTATCGTCGGCAGCACTTGGTGTATGTCCTGTCTATGTTGCAAGTGCCCTAAAACTTTTATTTAAGCAATGTTCCTTTTCTCTTGACGTCTGCAGTTTCTGCTGGAGGTGTACGAGGACGAAGAAGAGCTCCTTGTTTCCCTGGAGCAAGAGGACAGACGATCTTCCAATTTCCGGACAAGGGGAGAGAATTATACTATTGGATTCTCAATCATTAAAGTGAGTTTTGTACCTTGGTGATCTGTTTGTTTTAGTTTCAGAAAGAAGAGTTGAACGAGGCAGGGGTAGGCTCAGAACAACATACTTAGGGAACCTAAACAAATAAGTAACGGGGAAAGATCAGGGAAACGTAGCTTTTATTAAGAGCATCCGAGCAAAGGAATGAATACAGAACCATGATCGCCGATGTCTGTCGCAAATCTGGTACTGGATGATGATGAAGAAGAGTTGTGCGGCACTTGCAACGCAAATAGGTCTTATCGTAAAAGCAGAAGATAAGGGTTGTTACTAGACACTAGTAACTTGCAAAGAAAAGAAGGAGAGATAAGAGCGATAGCTGTTTGATAGGAAAGGAGGAGCAAGCCACAGAAGAGGACAACCGCCAACCACCCCCTTGGTGATATGTTAGTTGTTCTTTGTGTTTCTGGAGGTAGGGAGTGGGGGCGTTGAGGAGGGGGGTGTTGTTGTTATTTTCTTCTTTGAAAAAACCCCCCAGTTAAATCTTCTCGAGAATTGATTCAATGCTGAACATTTCGTTTGAAAAAAACTTCCTACAATTCTTAATAACCTCTGATTTGGACATTGTGGTTTTGTAAAATATATTGTTGGTCGCTCAGTGCAGCTCCTTATTCGGTTTGATTTCATGGTTTGTTTTGTTTTGTTTAATTAGTTGTTTTTAAGGGGTGGATCGAAGGTTTTTCTTTTCTTCTTTTTATGGGTATGTGTGTGTGTGTGTGTATGTGTGTGTGTGTGTATGTGTGTGTGTGTGTGTGTGTGTGTGTGTGCTCTATGCCCAGGGGCGAAGCGTCTATATAATCAAATAATCACTGCTTCCCTTCCTAATTTTGAA